TGATTCTTAAGCACTGCACTTCCACCCAATGCGACCTATCTATCTACAAAAGTTTCATGTTGATATCTCTTATAATTTTAGAGTAATGTCCCAGACAAAGTTTCAAAGTGTCAAAATTGAACAAAGGGCAATAACTTACAAAAGTAGGCAAGACAGTGTTACAGTTCTTGTGCACTGCAAACTTTACTCAATGAGATCTATCTACCTACAAAGTTTCATGTTGATATCTCTTATACATTAAGAAATATGTCCCCGGACAAAGTTCAAAGTGTAAAAAATAAACAAAGGGGGATAATTTCAAAAATTAGACAAGGCAGAGTTTAAGGTTCTTGTTCACTGCACACCTACTCAATGAGATCTATCTACCTAACAAAGTTTCATGTTGATACACTCTTTATACTTTTAGAGTTATGTCCCGGACAAAGTTCAAAGTGTAAAATTAAAACAAAGGGGAATAATTCAAAAATTAGACAAGGCAGAGTTACGGTTCTTGTGCACTGCACACCTACTCAATGAGATCTAATCTACCTACAAAGTTTCATGTTGATACCTCTTATACTTTTAGAGTTATGTCCCAGACAAAGTTCAAAGTGTAAAATAAACAAAGGGGGATAATTCAAAAATTAGGCAAGGCAGAGTTACGGTTCTTGTGCACTGCACACCTACTCAATGAGATCTATCTACCTACCAAAGTTTCATGTTGATACCTCTTATACTTTTAGAGTTATGTCCCGGACAAATTTCAAAGTGTAAAATAAACAAAGGGGATAATTCAAAAATTAGGCAAGGCAGAGTTACGGTTCTTGTGCACTGCACACCTACTCAATGAGATCTTATCTACCTACAAAGTTTCATGTTGATACCTCTTATACTTTTAGAGTTATGTCCCGGACAAAGTTCAAAGTGTAAAATAAACAAAGGGGGATAATTCAAAAATTAGGCAAGGCAGAGTAACGGTTCTTGTGCACTGCACTTCTACTCAATGAGATCTATCTACCTACAAAGTTTCATGTTGATACCTCTTATACTTTTAGAGTTATGTCCCGGACAAATTCAAAGTGTAAAATAAACAAAGGGGATAATTAAAAAAATTAGGCAAGGCAGAGTTACGCGTTCTTGTGCACTGCACACCTACTCAATGAGATCTAATCTACCTTACAAAGTTTCATGTTGATACCTCTTATACTTTTAGAGTTATGTCCCGGACAAAAGTTCAAAGTGTAAAATAAACAAAGGGGATAATTCAAAAATTAGGCAAGGCAGAGTTATGGTTCTTGTGCACTGCACTTCTACTCAATGAGATCTATCTACCTACAAAGTTTCATTGTTGATACCTCTTATACTTTTAGAGTTATGTTCCCGGACAAAGTTCAAAGTGTAAAAATAAACAAAGGGGAATAATTCAAAAATTAGGCAAGGCAGAGTTACGGTTCTTGTGCACTGCACACCTACTCAATGAGATCTATCTACCTACAAAGTTTCATGTTGATACCTCTTGTTGTTTCAAAGTTATGTCCCGGACAAGAAAAGGGGACGGACGGACGGACGGACAAGGCGGCGACTATATGCTCCCCCGAAATTTTTTCGGGGAGCATAAAAATGTTATTTTTTGCGTCATCATAGGGCATACTAATATCAATCTTAAATTAATCTTGAACAAAAAACCCGGAAAATTCATGACACTAGCAAATAAATTTTTTTCAAGTGAACAGTGACATAAGTCGTACAAGAGCCACAGCCAAGCGAATGCAACACTTTTTTTTTTCTACAGTCAAACACATTGAAGGAAGAATATTGTAGTTAAGAATACAGTACATTCTCATAGAAACATAATTTTCTGAACAAAATATAATTGAAATTTTATATTTGACTTTGACAGGCAGTCATTCAATGGCCAACGTCGCAACTGAATTATCATCGTCATGTCATTTAATTGAAGTGTTTTTTTTGTCCAAGAATGAATGAAATCCATAAATAAATAACAAAGTCATGACAATTTAAGCAAATTTCAATAATTGACCTTAACTGTTAGGGTCAGTTGTTCTTTGTAATATATGTTCTTTGTCCAACTATAAATCAAATCTGTAAATAAGTAATAAAGTTATGACAATCTAAGCTGACTTCAATATTTTACCCTAAAGGTAAAGGTCATTTACAGGTCAAAGTCATAGTTTGAAATTGTTATAAGTGATCCTTTGCCAAAGTATAAATCAATCCCAAGTATAAATCAAAATCCATTAGGAAATAACAAAGATATAGCCAATTGTTTAGCAAAAATTCAATTAATTTGACTGTCGATTATTGCACAAACAAAAATCAAATTGAGTCTGATCTTTGAAAAACATTGTCCATATGCTCAAGTATGAAATTACAAAGACAATCCATTCATTAATTCCAAACTTTTATAGGCATCTAAATTGCACTTTGAAGGTCAAGGTTATTCATGAAATCATGGTCAAAGTTCAGTCAGGGTCAATTTGAAGGTCTTATCCAAAAGGGTTGTTGTGGCCGAGTATAAAAACTATACACCAAGAACTTAAAAAATAATGGCCAAGGCTTCAGTTTGGTGGATGGCGATTTGCAATGCTGCCATGTCTGTAACAATACCTCTATTGTTTTTTCTTAAAAAAAAATCGAGCAAAAAAATTGTTACCAATGTTAAGTTTTCAGATGGCAAAAGACAAGGGCAAGTGGCAAGGGCAATGGCAATATTAATAACAATTAGCTACTTTTTTCTTTTTGAAAAGAGTTAAACTAAAAATTGATATTTTGTACATGTTAGGATGACAAGCTTACCCGTCTCTGATTTTTTCTGCTATGTTCTCCAGAAAATTCCAACATTTCTGAAAAAATTAAAAAAACAAAAACATTTTTGTTAAATAAAGAAAGAGTAAATAATTTTTCCTTCAAATTTATGAGTAAAGATAGGCATTTATTCATTACAAAATATGAGCCGCGTCATAGCAAAACCAACATTGTGTGTTTGCGACAGCATGGATCCAGACCAGCCTGTGCATCTGCGCAGTCTGATCAGGATCCATGCTGTTCGCTATCAGTTTCTCTACTTGTAAAATGGTTGGTAAGCCAACAGCATGGATCTTGATGAGAATGCGCAGATGAGCAGGCTGGTCTGGATCCATGCTGGTCACAAACTATGTTGGTTTAGTTGTGATGCGGCTCAATTATCTCCACTGAGGGATCATTTTGACACTGAAACTCAAAATCACTCACATTTGCTAACTACCAAAGTTTCAATTCACTCACAGATATTAAATTATTTTGATTTAGAAAGAGCAAGGAAGCTGATCTTTTGGTCAGATGTTCAGTACTTTCCACTCAAAATGGGCTCAGAATAGCAAACATGATTTTAAATTTATTTCTGAGTACATTTTTCATTATATATATATTTTTTTATCTATTTTTTTTTTTTTAATTGCTCCATATATGAAATTCAGTTGTTTTTTGTTTTAGACTTTTGAACCTCAGTGGAGTTTCTTTAAGACATTTAGGATCATGGATGGTAAGGGTAAATTTCTCTGTACATTATCATTTAAGCAGTATGTCTCCAGATTCATGTGTATTTTCATAAAAATTTTGAAAATGTATTAAAAAATAAAATATTGTCAAGTGAATGAAGGAAGTAAATAACACATTGCAAACAGCTGTGATGTATAATCACCAGGTGCTGGACACACTATTGACATACTTGTATATACTTATATGCTATATATAGTATGTATTATAACTTATATTGATAGTGTGTCCAGGGAGGTATCCGGACAATTCCCCTCCCGGACGATTCCCCTCCCAGTAAATTTGAATGTTTTTTCACAACCCGGACATTTCCCCTCCCGTTATTTTTTCACGGCGGACAATTCCCCTCCCGTTCTTTTATCAACCCGGACAATTCCCCTCCCGTTCTTTTAACAACCTGGACAATTCCCCTCCCGCTGTTGTCAGAGCGGACAATTTCCCTCCCGTGGCTGTTGAATATATATATTATATAATATTGTTTATTTGAAAGGTATATACATTTTTGCAGCGGCAAAACAATAAAAGAACAATTGATAAGAACAAAAAAGCAATTAAGCTGTAGATTCTTGCAAAGAATATATTATGCACATGTTATAGTAAATTGAACTGTCATCATCGTCATTATGATTAGAAAATCATATTCACCATACTGGCATGCGAGCAGTTCCCGTACAAAAATCATAGTTACTTAAACATTATTTTTTATTACGCTCACTCACCAAAATTTAAATGTTACACATCAATATTCAGCTCGTCACACAAATCATGGAAATTCCATCATGTTCTAAACATAGTATAACCCTTACTTATGAGGCCTCATATGGGGTACCGAAATTATCCATTATTTTGTATGAAGAGAAGTAGTTCCCGTACATAAAATCTAACCCATTATAATTATACAATTTTATTATATCGGACCTATTTTTCATTTACAATTGTTGAACAGACCATTATCTAAGAGATAAATAGATGTAATTCTGGAAATAGAGCGTAGACTAAACGCGGGTATCAATTACCCGGTACCGTTACCCCAACGCATTCACATGCAATAGCATGCTTGTATGCATGATATTTTACGCATCAAAGCCATAAAATTATTATATATAGTAATATTGGTCAACATTCTGATAATTAAACAAGTTTACATCACATTGCCTACTTATTTGTAAACAGGTGTTATTAGTGGAAAACCCTGTAAGAAGCCTCACGTGTAAGTATTTTTGCGCATGCTCACAAGGACGGAATCCCCCAGAGAAAACAAGGTCACGTTTTGACGACGCACAGGTGAAAGTGATTTAAAATGAGACTTTATATACGTACTGCCGAACTGACACTTAGATTTTGTCTCGTTTATTTATCTGCTTGATTTGAAATTAATTTTTGAAGAATGCAAGTAAAAATCAAGCGTTTAAATGAAAAATACGGGTACTGCTTCTGTACGGGAACTGCTCGCATGCCAGTATTGAATCAGTACATGAAGTCCTAACACAAAGTATCAGTGATCATTTTGATTTTATATATGATTGAACACATTTGTAGGAATATTCTCCTTCATTTTTAATTGGTTTTGCAATCAAGGACACATTTAATTAAGGGCGGCTATGATTAAAGATTCTTTATTGACAGTTTGTTTATCTTAAGCAACGGCAGCAATGATTAAAGGCGGTATAATGTCACTTTAGTGAAATAATGATTGTTAAAAGTTCCGATCTTTAACAGTTTATTGTTAAGAGTAAAAACTGTCATCTTTAATAAGAATGGTTATAGATTTTTTTTATAAACAATGTGAAAAAACGGGAGGGGAATTGTCCGCTCTGCTAAAAAAATGGGAGGGGAATTGTCCGCTCTGCTAAATTAACGGGAGGGGAAAAGTCCGCCCTATTAAAATAACGGGAGGGGAAATGTCCGGGTTGTGAAAATAATATGGAAGGGGAATCGTCCGGGAGAGGGATTGTCCGGGATTCGTCCAGCGAATGTGTTTCAATTCGAGTAAATTACCTACAGGTCAAACTAATAGTGTGCAAAAATAGCCATTACTGCTTTAGTCTAGCAGTAGAAATATGTTAAAAAATACATGTACCTCAAAATCAGTCATTCACTGCATATAAAATATAGATAATTATTTACATAAATTGTGAATATTTCAACTTTTCTTAAAATCTTCATTTTTTTAAAGTTGATTTTCTTGATTTTTTTTTTTTACTTATCTGGAGGCATGCAGCTTAAGGAATGACTTCACAGTTAAAAAGTAATCCAAAAATCAAATTTGAGTATAAACATATCTTTAACAACAGACTGTTTCTGATTCAAAGATGGGAAAGTTAATAGCTCCAAATCATTGAGTTTGATTTTTCTATAATATCCATGTACAAATGTAACAAAGTACCAGGACTTTCAGCGAGTGTTCCTTTCAGAGCTCTCTCTGCAAATGTTTTAAACCCTGTCATACTGGCAATGATCTGTCGACCTTCTAACATGTTACTAAGCAACAACTCTGTTCTTTCATTCGGGTACAAGTATATCCTATATGACAATTCTCTAATCTGAAATTATATATTCATGTCTATTTGTATCGAAATGTTTGTGTCTTTTGCATGCAAATGATAATACAAATATCCATGTCTATTTAATTGTTTGCAAATGTTATGTCAATTTGTATTCAAATGTTAATGTCTTTTTGCATTCAAATGTTAAAGTGTATACAAATTTCGATGTCTATTTGAAAGATATTATGTCTATTTGTACAAAAAAAATACATGTCTATTTGTATAAAAAATGTATCTGTCTTTTTGCATTCAAATGTTAATGTTTATGTGTACATTGTATACAAATATCTATGTCTATTTGTATGCCTAGTTGTATTCAAATGAAAATGTATATTTGTATAAAAATGTTTATGTCTATTCATAAACAAATATTTATATCTATATTTCAAATGTGCAAGTCTATTTGTATTCAATACATATTTCTATTTGTGTAAAAATGTCTTTGTCTATTTGCATACAATTTTCTTTTCAACCTGCCATCAAAAAATTATTACATTTAACATTCATGTTTCCTTACAAAAATTTTCCTTTACATAGTTGCTTTAGAAAATGTACCTATATTTAAAGTTTTTGTTGTTGCTATTTCCAAAGTATCTTCAACAACATGTTTTATATATCAATATAAAAAAAGTTATTTTGCAGATCAATGCGTTAAAGATGAAAAAGTCACAAGTTATGTAACATATATTGACGTAAACAGAATTTTTTATTTCCAAAGTACACTATCAATCAATAATGCATTTGCAAACATCAAAAGGTCTCTGGACAAGAATAGGCATGTTTTTCTGTTTTCAATAGTTTCTTAGTTGTGTCCCGGACAAAGTGTTAAAATGAACAAAGGGGCAATAACTCCAAAAATTTAGCAAGGCAGAGTTGTATTTATTTACAAAATTAATGAATGTACTTGAATATACAATGTTTATGTTAAATTATAAACAGCCAAGCATAAAACTTGGCCATGAATGTGTAAAATGTTTATGCCAATCAACTATTTGACTTGCAATACCAGACCATTAAATGATAAATTTAAAGATTTTTTTTGTGTGTCTTTCTCACTGCAAAATAATACAATTATCTCATGGTTATTTAAGGGTAATAAAAACTAAATTAATCCCTGTGAACAAAAGGATATAACCTGATGCATAATGTGTTAGTAATTTATGACCTGTGATGATTATGTTTTTCACAAGTCCAAGTGGTGTCAACATACTTTAGACGGCCACTTAGACCTGTCATTCATTTATTTTGCAATCCAATCAATTTATTATACAAAAGGTAATTCCTTTATACACCAGTAATTAGAAAATTAAATCTGCATTAACCAACCCCATCCAACTTTATTGCACAATGATTCTGATATGGTCAATGAAATTAAAGGTAATCATATTATTTCACATCTTTTCTCATGTTTATTCATTAATGTACAAACATTCTGTTTTCTACACGAGCATGAAAATTCATACACACAAACTATTCATTGTTTGGCCTATGAACATTGCATGAAACTACGTTGTATTTTGTAAGTGAAAAATAAGACTGTCAACATATTCCTGCAGGCAAACAATGATATACTCATACAAGGTGACTGTGGAAAATCATACATTCATACAAGCTGGCAATTCAATATATTCATACAAGCAACTGAAGATATTTTCATACAATCAGATAACATAATATATATTTATAAAAGCAGAAAAAGCAACGGGAAGACTTACTGGCTCACCGAAATGCTCTGACTGCAAACTGTTCACAAATGTAGTATCACCTTCCACATGAAGACTGTAATAAAGATTGTACTTAGATCATTTTCAACTACAAGACAAGTATATATGTGTCATGTGTGTAACTATGGTATCTATTTGCCTTCAAAATGAGTATACCACTTATTGAAGAAATATTAAATACATTGTACTTTACATGGTATCTGATCTATCTTTAATGACATGTGATTTTTGATAATTATTTTCAAGTCGGATTAAAAAAAACATTGATTTTATCATATCTTCATCATTGTATAGCTTATATATTTTCTAAGCTGAAGAGTTTTAAATCTAGTTTCCCATACAAGTAAATGTAAAAAATGTTTACTCAAGTCAGGGCAATTTTTTGACCCAAGAGCCATTTGTTTATCAAACTAATGATGATATATGTCAAAATCTTAGCTTTGAGAATTGTAGTTTTTTCAAGAAGATTATTAAAGTCTTCTTTGCCCCCAGTACATTTTTTAGATTTGTGACCTAATTGTGTATTACACTTGATAAATTGGGTGGAGTACACCTGAAGGTATCTATAAGTATTTTGTGCTCAGATGAGCCTAAAAAGTGTAGCGGTTATATTAATTAAGTTTAAAAATAAATTAAATCTATCCAAGATCTATAAGACAGGCAGAAAGTAGCCATTCATAAGATTTCACATGAAAGGGACAGGACTGGCCAACCAACGAACTGACAAGCTGTCCCTAATTCCCCTTTTGTTTGCCAGGAGCATAATAATGTATAAATATTGAAAAATCCCCCAGATAGATGCTTAAAAATGCAAATTTAACACAGTTACAAAATGGTTTTAGAGATATTGAGGAAATGTAAAAACCTAGAATTAATCACCTTTAAACTTTTTTCACATGAAATACTAAATGTCTCTGGAAAGATTCAAACCCTCAGTGGTCAGGGGAAAGTTAGCTAAAAGTAACTTTGTCAAACCAGTCTGTAAACAGTGACATCCCCAAAGAGTTCGGAGCATAAATTTTATACAAAGGGAGGCAACACCTAAATTGTATACATGAATTCTTACTCACATTGCACTCCCTTGATGTGTCAATAATTCTTGACAAGCATGATAACTTTAGATTAATTTACTAACCCAACCAAAATTATTAGGATCTTACATTGCCTGTCAGTACAGACCGGAAAATCTAGCCCAAGGATAACTGTTTAGAGCGGAAACAAGGCTATGCCGAGTTTCCACTTAACAGTTACCCGAGAGATAGATATTCAAACAAGAGCTGTCCGTAAGACAGCGCGCTCGACTTTTTTATTGCTTGCCAATAAAAAAAGTTTTTGCAGTAAAAGGCAATACAAGAATCTCTGTATTTTTAAAGTGAACTAGTTGTTTGATACCCTTGAATATTACAGCAATGTTTATATGACATAATTTATGGTAAAGTGAACAAGTGGATAGGAATGAATTTTTTTAGATTTTTAAGTTTTTAGTGCTTGCCTATAATACAAAACATTGACAGTTAAGGGCCATAATTCAAATAAAATCTTTGACAGAATTACCTTCTCCTGGACATGTTTGGGAATCATGATTGTAAACAAGTATTCCAACTTTCAAATTAATATCTCAAACAGTTCAGTCAAAAGTGGACTGGTACTAAAAACTTAACCAAGATTCTAAGTCAATAAAAGGCCTTAATTTTTAAAACAAATCCTTGACAGAGTTACCTTCTCTTGCGTACAGATGGGGGTAATGATGTGAAATAGCATTAAAAGTTTCAAAGCAATATCTCAAAGGGTTAAGGCAATAAGTGGATTTTACCATATTCAATGTATTTTCTAAGTCAAAAAGGGGCATAATTCTGTCAAAAACCTTGACAGAGTTATGTCCTCTTGTCTGTTGATGAAGGTCGTGATGGTAAACAATATGGTCAGTTTCAAAGCAATACCTCCAATGGTTTTGAAATAAAGTGAAGGTGGTACAAAAAACTTAACCAAGCTCAATACACTTCTTAAGTCAAAAAAGGGCCATAATTTCTGTCAAAAACCTTGACAGAGTTTATGTACTCTTGTCTGTAGATGGAGGTTATGATGGTGAACAAGTATGGTAAGTTTCAAAGCCATACTTGTAATACTTCTGAAATAAAGTGGGGTGGTACGAAAAACTTAACCAAGGTGTGACGCCAACGCCGACGCTAACGCCGACGCCGGGGCGAGAAGGATAGCTCCCCTTTCATAGAAAAGTCGAGCTAAAAATGCTTTAAAAAAGTCATATCAGTCAAATGTACAAAACCCTTTTAAGAGCTCAGGCTCCAGGTTTTTGAAGTCCATCTTTGGGGTAGGTTGTTTGGACTTTACATGCATAAAGTTATTACATGTATCCTCAGTAATAAATTATTCACTTGAACAAATTTCTTCCGCTGAAAAAAAAGAGGTATTTCATGAAATACATACTTAAAGAGAACAAGTTATAAATTAAATTAATGTTGAATTAATACGCCTGCTCTATCACACAAATCATAATACTGAAGCATGGTTGAGTGGTAAACATGTCAGACTCGACGTCAAATCGTTGCTTGCTGAGGGTTTCAGATCCCGTCAGGGGCAAGCCTTTGTTGCCATGAGCAAGAAATTTCACACCTATTGCTTATATATGCTAATCAACTTTTGCTAAGCATCGTAAGTTAATTTATATATTATCACAAGTATAAAACAGATTTCTTTCCAATTTTTGAAACTTCTGATTCAGCAATGTTTTGAAATAGTCCTTTGACATAAATCTGTTTGACTTATCCATAACAACATGTCTAGGTAGCATAGAAAGCATGCATTCCAAAATGTTCATGTTTTGATGGATGGTACATCACATGTCTTTTGTTATACGGCGACATTACCGGCATATTGTCATTCAGTGACTTACATTTCTTACATCTGTCACTTCAATATGACGAATGCTAACATTAGGCGGCATTTGAGAGAAGCAAAGTTATGGAGAACTGTAGGGATTGTGCAGCAGGGGGCAACCTTTCGCCAGGTTTGTGCGGCACATGGTGTAGCACCATATTGTCATCACCAGAGCCTGAGAGATACTGGCTATATGGTACACCCGCCAGGAGGCATGCTGGAGGTCCACAAAGAGTCACAACACCAGCTCAGGATCCATTTTTGGCCATTCAGGCACATTGTGATAGGTTTTTCGACAGCAACTTCTCTTTGAAATGACCTGCTAATACTGCTGGGGTCTGTGTTTCCACACAGAGGTACTTACAAGGCTGCACAAAGGTAATTTGCAGTCGAGAAGACCTTGCATACGTATCCCCTTGTAGCATCAACATCCCCAGGCCCATTTGGAATGGACCATGGGGCATACACCAAAGACCATGGCAAAACACTGGAAGACACGTTCTGTTCACTGATGAGTCCAGGTTCTGCCTAGGACTTCACAGTAGGGGTGTGGATCGTCGGATAAGTGCCGATCCGATCCAAACCACGATTCAGCACTTCAATTCACAAATCGAACCACAAATCTTTTGTTATCAAGACATCCATAAAAACATGTAGATCTACATTAGTTATAAAAACATGTTTTATTAATAAATATATATATATATAAAATAGATTTATGTTTTTTTATTCTTTGGATGAGTATTTTTGTTTTGTTTTTGAAACCAATTACTTTTCCTAGCTCAGCATCATGGTACATGATCTTTAACCGGCAAATTGTATTTTAGGTAAACTTCATATAATTTATACTCAGATTTTAAGAGTGAGAAACAGTGAATGTATAATAAAAAATTAGATCGCGATACACGATCTCTGGGCTTACGAATATTCAAACTCGATTTTTCACTTTGATTCGTGATTATCCGAGTACTCGGATACTCGCCCCCAGCCCTTACTTCACAGATAGGTGTGCTACAGTCTGGGAGAAGACAAGGTGAATGGTTTCAGGCTGCATTTATTGCCGAGTATGACCAAAACGGAGGTGGGTCATTTATGGTGTTGGAAGCCATTAGCTTGGATGAACGAACTGACCTGGTTGTGCAAACTAGAGGCACATGGACAGGTTAGCCATACATAGACAACATTTTAGACAACCAGGTAAGGTTGTATGCTGGAGCAGTCGGTGATCAGTTCATTCTAATGAACTATAAAGCTTGCCCCCATGAGGGCCAGGGTGGTCCAGAAACTACCTGGAGAGGGAGTCTATTGAGCGCAGGGACTGACTGGCCAGCTCGCTCAACTGACATAAATCCAATAGAATACTTGTGGAATGAACTGCATGTTAGAATTTCAGCTCGTCAGCTGCAACCAAGAACCATCCAGGAGCTTGGAGTCATGTTGGTCCAAGAATGGGCAGTCATACCCATAAGAATGATTAGAAACCTAAGAGGGAGTATGAGTAGGTGATGCCTAGCTGTCATTGATAGACACGGGTCACACATACAGTACTAAATCTAAAACTGTGAACAAACAAAAAAATTTAACAAAATTGAAAAACACGCTGCATATTCTGAAATCTTCAAAGAGGAAGGTCATCTTCTTCTGTAGCCCAAAATCAGTGTAAAACTCATTTATAGGGTAAAATTCAACCTTCAGCTGAATTGATAAAACAGTAAATCAACACTTTAAATCTTTCGCACAGTGTCAATAAAATTATCCCAAAAAATATTCACATTCATAAATATGGTGCTTAACAAAAGTTGAGTAGTATATATTATAATTATTTCTAAAGTATATATTATAATTATTTCTATAAGCTTATAGCTTCCAACACAATTAAACATATTCTGTATAAACTTAAACATAACTTAAAGATTTATGCTAAATATTTTAAAGCAATAAGTAATGAAATATTTTTATAAATCAATAAATAGTTAAATTACATGTTTCCATAATCTTATGGTGAACTCTCAAATGTCTCCAGATTTAAGGAAATATTAAATACCTTGCAGGTATTTTTGCATTATTATTTTGTCAAATTAAAACAATTTTTTTTATAAATACAGACAGCACATTTATAGCTTGATCCAGTAATTTTCATGTATTTTTCATGTAACTTAATACCTGGCCTTCCTCTAAATGTATACCACTTTGTTCAAAATCAAACAGGAACAATTTGGATACTCTCTTGTCAACCTCACTTAGTTCCTGGACATCTCCATGTTCTACCACAGACTTTAATGTTCTATACATAGAGATATTTGTGTTGAGTCTAAAAATAAACATAAAAACAACACTGTAACCATATAAATGATGTTATATCATTTTTTCAGTCTAAAAGAAACACAATATTAACACTGTAACCATATAAATGATGTTATATCATTTTTTCAGTCTAAAAAGAAACTTAATATATTATTTTGGTTTTGGAGTGATCTATGTGGATATATTACCTGTTAAGATTTTATATCACCCGAGCCATTAGGCGTGGGTGATATTTTATCTTGGCAGGTAATATATCCACATATATCACTCCAAAACCAAAATAATAATTTTATTACCCTTCCCTTGCCAAGTTTAGACAATTTAAAAAAAATCATTGCTGTTTCAAATTAAACGTCGAAATAAGATTCCCTTTAGGGTACCTCTTCGTCACAACATGATGTCACATAAATACATGACGTATTTTCCCATACCTAACAAATGAAAACAAGAGAAAAGGAGTACTCTATTGAACGCACTTTTTTGTAATTAATATCAAGCTTTCACAAAGGTCAAAAACTTG